CCAGAGCTTTTGCACTAGGCTAACTTCCTAGATCTGTTTTAAATTTTTGAGGTAAGATCTCCCTAGACAGAGCTCATATTTACCAACCTCCTGCCTCAGCCTCCCACAGTGCCGGGATTGCAGATGTGATACTTAGTTCATTACTTCAAGAGAAATTCACATTCCTTTACGCCAGTACCAACTGCTGCACAGGGGCCTCACCTGTGATAATTCTCCAGAGCTAATACATTGAGAAGTAGAAAATACGACTATTCAGATTTTTGCCATGGAAAGTTCTTCTAGCCAGCCCTTTGCCTGGCTCTGCTGATTGAGTTTTTCTTTCCAGGTATTAGATTATTAACAGAGGCTAATGAGTTTGTGTTGTAGACAAATGGAATTGTACTTTAAAGATTCAACATCCAGTCACTGTGGGGAGGCTTTCCCTCTACAGGCATGATACAGAGCACTCTTGCTCTAGATAAAGCACTGGGAGAGCAACTTGAGGGCATACAAATATCACTCCTGGTGTCCGAGAAGCTCCTTTGGGCCAGGAGTATGCTAGGACTTGGTCACCAGCCCACACAGATCATCTGAGAAAACAATCTATGTGTGTATGTGGAGTATGTTTATCATAAATACAACTCATCTAAAGTACGTAGAATACAATCTGTGAATAATTAAATGCATAATGTTCTTTACTATAAATTCCACATAGTTAACTGATTCTCAGAGCATGTTTTGATCTTGCACTCAGCTCTTGTATCTATACCAACCTGTGGTTACAACTGATTGACAGCTGTAGCTCTGACATGGACGTTGATTTGTTGTCGTTGTTGTTCTCCTTAATGAGTAATGCAAACACAAGACAGCTTCTTCATATGCAAAATATCACTTGGGTAAGTTGGATAACACTTCTGAACACTGAAACACTATTTCTTCTGCTATTTCCTATGCTCTTGACAACAGCTACTGAGACAACTTTTAAACTATATCAACATTTTTTCACCATCTTCTTAAATCTAGATAGTCAATAAAATAGTAGAACCTTAAAATTGGAAGTGATGGGTTTGGGGTATGACCTTGGCTTCTAACATAATTTAAGTGTAAATTATGTAATTGTTGAGGTTGGGGGTTTAGCTCAGTAACAGAACACTCGTCTAGCACACACAAGGCCCTGAGTTTGGTCCTTGGCACAATCAATCAATAAAATGTTTAAAAGAGAAAAAAATATATAACTTACATAATTTCTGTAGTTAACAAACTGAGAACTTAAATACTGGTTTGTAAACCAGCACACAGTGGTGGGGGGCACTCAATTCCATGCCTCAAATAGAAACTTTTCAAGTAAGGAGAATGTGTCATGAAATCTCAGGGTAAAATCTATTATTTCTTAACATGACAGGAAAGCAAACCCACAGAGGAGAGTGCCAGGGAGACGTTGGTCGTTGGGTGTGCTCCCATTTGGGGAGCAGGCTGCTTAAGTGGGGGGCATCTGCAAACAAAATGTGAGAGGGAGGATGACTTGCGAGCAACAGAAACTGGACCTGGATCTCTGCTCAGGCTCATGACAAAGGCTGAAACCAGGCTTTTTTCCAAAAATGGTTTTAATTCCAACATCCATCTTAATGGCCTGCTGTAGACTAATTTAGCTGATAGTTGTTGTTATACTAAAAATGGAATCTAATGATTTCAGCTAAAAACAACAAAGCCAGCATTATCAAAGAATATTGTCAGAAGCTGATTATCATGGGGTACATTTGTTTTTCACTTTCTTTTCCCCATAGAAAGGCATAATAAGATTTCCACGTTATTTCCTCCTCTCATGGGACTCTAAATATTATAAATGTGCTCTCTGGAGGGAGCTGCTTCGCAGCATTCTTCTTTGTAGGACTCATCTTGCACACAACATGGGGCAGGACTGAGGACACCACCCACCGAAGAACTAAATACTGTATAGCGCCGCACACTTTGTAACTTCCCAAGTATGTGCATTTTGAAAAGAAGCACAACTTTTTTATATAGATTTGGTACAGGGTCTCACTACACAGTTTGGACTCGTAGTGATCATCCTGCTTTCAGCCTCCCCAGCCCTGGGACTACTACAGGCATGCGGCATCTTGCTCAGTCTCGGTGGTCTGCTCAGCATGCTCAGGGCAAGGCAGCATGGCAAGTGGTTCTGGGATGGAACCTCGGTCCCAGTGCTTGCTTAAGCAGGGGCTTAGTCCACTGACCGGCCACAGAAGCACAACTTTTAAAGCCAAGGTCAGATAACTGCCACATCAAATAACTCAAGTTGGAGCAAATCTGGAAAATGTAAATCAAAGGCTTTCAGGCACCACTGACTGAATTAACCAGAAATGCCGTGAGGTAGGTACAAGAAACCACAACATAATCAGGATGTGATTCAGTATTTTAACTGGCAATGATTCCAGAACTCGGGTTTCTTGAGCCATACCAATATTTGATTTAAATTCACTTAACATATGTCTCTGAAATTGTATGTATTAGTTTCTAGAAAATCAAATTCAAATGTCACAGAAAATGGACTAAGCTGGGAGGAGGTAAAAAGCATTAAAGGTGCTAATTAGAAAGGAATCTCACTTGGTAGGCAACCAGAATGGAACTTAGGTGAATAAGCTTTGCAAAGTCTTTCAGGTTATGACCTTATTTAAATGCTTTTAGTTATTTCAATTATTAGAAATAATGAAAGAAAAATTACTTCCTCTAAGGAAGCCCTATCTTCCTAATAACTGAATATTCTGAATTGAAGGCACTAGTTTCAGTATCAATTTAGAGTTTGCTTTTCCAGCTTATGAGGTCTTAAGGAATTGCCCGCTTTCACCTCATGCTGGGAAGCTCGCGCCTGTGCCATCTTTGCAGTTCTAGGAGAAAGGGCTCTGCAGGTCCTGCAAAGAGGTTAGAGAGGCATACAGCTCTGCAAACTCCTACACACTTCCTGCAACTTTAAATTCTGCCCTCCAGCTGGAGCACAAGGTGGGCCCTTGCCCTACACCTGCCTGTCCATAAATGGCAGGAGCAAAGAGCAGTGGACTGAGGGTGCCACGTGGTCATCTACATGCTGGGCAGGGTGCAAGTCTCTCTGCTAAACCTTCCTGGCCCACGGCTGATCCAGGTCCTCTCCCCTTGTGGCCTAATGACCTACTTCACACCTTGATGGGAACCAGTTAAGTAAATCCCTCCTTCATGTATCTTAAACTACAGTTTCTTGAATGAAATACCCAACATATGGGAACAGATTAGCCGAAAAAAGCAAAGATAGTGACTTTATTTTCAGCGGCCTACCCACCACATTCATATATTTTCCCTAAAAATAAATGGAGGAGAAAAAGAAGTCTCTTTTTAAGATTAACTGAAACCCTAAATGACCCAACACTCGTTAGGGTTGTCGATACCTCCAGCCAGGCCTGGGCCAGACAACATGGAGCACAAAGGCTGCTGTTTCTTCAGCCCTAACATTCCTTGTCTAATTTTAGCCATAAGGAAGACTTAGCAAAACGCTAGAGAAAGCTGGGTTTCTGATCATGAGGTTACCGAGCAGGGATGCACGCTCTGAAGCATTATTGAAGTCACGGATTTTTACGCTTACTCAACACCAGTTCACCACTGCCACACATTTAAGGGGATCTGAACAAAGAGTTCATTTCTGAGGGCACAGATTTCCTTCGACATGCACTCTTCAGGAGAGTTCCTGCTTCCTGTGTGCACAACCACGGTCCTGGCCTCTGTGGTTGCCGGGGCAGCCCCTCAAGGCTTCTGTGGAAGTGGGCCACTTGGCCAGGAGCACCCAGGCTCCTGTGTAGCACAGCTTGGAAAAACTACCTGCTATTCATTGTCAATTACCAGGGCAAACATTTGTACTTCAGAGTTGATAAACAGAATGACAACTGTCAAAGACTCTAGAAATACTCTGTCTACTAAATGCTACCCTCTTTTGTGACACCCATCTATGGTTAACAGTCAAAAGTAACACTTCTAGGGCCAGCGGTATAGCTCAGCAGACTAAGCCTTGCCTAGGTAAGCACAGGGGCCAGGGTTCAATCCCTTGCACAGCATGCTGTGCCGGCCCTGCCCCTGGGCGCACTGAGCTGGCAATGGAGTCTGGGCATGGTGGTACACACCTGTAATCCCAGCACTAGAAATCAGGAGGATAACTATGAGTCTGAGCTGCATAGTGAGACCTTGAAAAAAAAAAAAAAAAAAAAAAACCTTAAAAAAAGAAAAACAAAAGTAACACTTCTTAGAGGCACAAATGCCATGGGCAATAATCCCAATAAATCCCCCTTTGACTCTCATTAGGTTTATTTCATTTTATTTTATTTGCTATAGGGTATCGCTAAGTATTTCAGGCTGGCCTTGAACTCATTATGTAGCCCAAGCTGGCCTTGAACTTGTGGCAATCCTCCTGCCAGGATTACCAGCATGTACCACTATACCCAGCTTGCCTGTAAGAAGACCAGTCTCCTCCCAACTCTGATTCAGGACATTATTCCAGATAGCACGGTCACTGCTAGTTCAAAGTTTGCTTAGCAACTGAGAGGCTTTGGATACCGCGAAGAGCTCCTGAATCAGAATTTTCATCAATACCTGCATACAACATGATCTCCACCTGAGGCAGCTGGAGAAGTGAAGCAGACCATCTTCAAGTGTTTGGGAAGAGACGAATAGCTCGAGTGTAACCTGCCTTCCAGCACCTGAGCCTGGGAAGTTTGCTTCCCTGTGGGACAGCCACTCAGAGTCTAATTTAAATCCAATCTCCAAAGAGGTGCTGGGAAATGATACAACAAAAAATCCAAATTATGTACACCTGACATCTTAGTAACAGCCCAATAAAAAACCCAACTGGAGAGAAAAATGTAGACACTACTCAAATTTGAGAGTCACTGTCAACATAGGAAAGCCACCCAGAGCATGTGGCACATTCTTTCCTTGTATCGCAAAGTAAATTTCTCATATTTAATCATTGTGATCAGTCTTGATTTAACAGCATCAATCAAACTGGGTAAAATCCTAATGACATCTTTAACATTTATCAAAAGCAAATCCTGAATAAAAGATCTATGAATCCCCTAATTACTTCCACTTTATGAATTGGCTTTTAAAAAAAAAATCAAAGAAATGTTCTTTTTAGGACAAAGTTTTAGAGCTTAGAAGAAAGAGAAAGCAATCATTGTAAGTTCTTCATGGATCCATCAGAGATTTTTTTTTTAATCCATTTATTTCCAAATATAGAAGATCAGATCTGACCTAGCATTATTTCTACAAGTTTAGAATAACTTTTCACTCAAAAATTCAAGGTGACAATGACATAAAATAGCCACAGGAAAAGACTGGCATGAAACACAATAAGATGATAAGTTATTGTATTCAAGTGGTTATTTTTCTTCTTTGTATTTGTCAAATGTCCTACTATATGGAAACATAATTTTCCAATAAAAACATGTAAATTGAGAAAGAATTCAGGATTATAAAATATAGTTGACTTTATAAAATAATATATCATTGTGCAGAAAGGGGACATTCAACTAAGATCAGAAGAGGCTGCCAGTAAGACAGCCCTGGCCTCGGGTGGGGCAGGTTTAGAGCTTGGCCTTTGGGAGTTCTCTGGGCAGTACAGTCCCCGCGACAGGACGTCCCCTTCCCTGAGGCACCAAGGACTTACCAGGGCACCTAAGACAAACGTGGATTTCTAGGTGTACATCATCCTCGTGTTCCTGGGGAAGCACAGAGCACTTCCCAAATCTGCACTTGATTCCGCTGGGGGTGATAAAAGTGAAACTGTCACACAGACACCACAATGCCCAGCGAACCGTGGCCTCCCTGGAGACAGAGCCATGGTGGGCAACCAACCCCCTGCACCGGCCTTCTGTTCCCATGCACAGACATACAGAAAAGACAGGACATATTTCCTCTTCAGACTGTATTTCATAAACTCAACTATATTCATTTTAAAAACTGCAACTAAATGCATGAGGCTATAAACAGATCTCAGTCACACGGATCCCAAGGAGGGGGCAGACCGAACCCTCTGGACTCTTTCAGGGGTTTTTTTAGGCAACAAAAGCAAAATTTGTATGTAAAATAGGTGTATATCTCACAAGATAAATTCTCAAAATTCATTTTTCCAATGTCCTTGTGGAAATCCAAAACTAGTAAATTTACCCCGAGAGGGATTATAAGCGTTTACTGTATATGAATACTGAAGTCTCTCGGTAAGGTTTAGGGTCCACTTCTCAGGAAATCACAGTTGTGCAGACACTGATGTGGCTTCTGCTTCCATCTCTAAATAGCGTCCTCTTCCCATCTGAGGAGTCTAGATGTCAGGCATTTGCCTAATCCCACAGGGTCCCTGGGTCACAGCTGCTGGTTGGTGAAGAAGGATTTAGTCTCCCTGCAGACAGGATTTATACAGAGCGGACAGCTCAGCGTCAACTGCTTGGAGCACAGTTTGTTTGACTGGATGTGTGAGTGCACCAAGTCTGCCAGCGCCTGCAAAACACACAGGGAGCACCGAGCGTCAGAAGCGTCTGCTTGCAGAAACGCCTGCTGGGCCAGCACGCGGGCCAGGCTCGGGCTCTTCATCTGCATTGTGCAGCCCTGAAGTGAATTCTAGGTCTGCCTTTCCTGAGCATCCTCAGCTTAGGGACAACTACACTACAGAATCCAGGAAATGTGTACTCTGACCCCACCCACCCACCCCCCTTTCTGTGAAAAGCAGATTTTTAAATTGCACATAGTTATAGGTAGGTAAAAACAAGAAAATTGGGGCTACCTAAAGGAAAAAGGAAGGAGTGGATAAGGAATTCAATCTTATTTCTGTAATTAATTGGAACTCCAAATGTTCTAATATGTGAGGAAACCAATATTCCGCAGGAGTTTCTCAGAGGATTCCTCCCAGGTACGTTCTACTAAAATGGTTGTAGCACTGCAGATACCTTAGAGAACAGCGGATTTCCATTAAGGGACTCTGCTCTTCGGATGCTTTCGGCTCCACACTGAATCAAACAAGAAAGGGGAAGATAGACACATGTATTTTAAGAAACTACTATAAAATCACACACACACACACACACACACACACACACACACCCTCAGGCTGCCTCAAGTGAGCACACCGGTCACAACAGAGTCTGGGTCAGCATGGGTGACTCATTCCCACAGACTCCCCTCTGATTTCTATGTGCTCCCCCACACCCCTCACTCTCCTGCAGGTTGTTTCCACACCACGGTTCAGGTCATTCTTGATGGAATTCTCTAATTAATTTAAATCTGCCTATCATTCCTTTTCATTCAGATCCTATTTTTTTTTATACATCCTCTTACAGACTCTACCCAAGTAGAATGTTGCTTTGATTAAGTAAATCTCCAACTCTGCTTTGATCCCTAGTGCCAAAATGAAGGAAATTAATTTACGGACTCTGAAATGTATACTGGATCTTGACTGGATATGATGCAGCTCTGGGCTTTTTAAATGTATTCTTACAAAGAAAAATAGAAAATAAACACACATGCACAGAGAGATTGTTTCAGTATCATTTTTTTCCTCCTCTCCAAAATATTCAGTTAATCATCTCCCAAATAATTAAGCACTAATTATGATTTACTCAGCATCAACTGCTGAGTTTTTTTTTCCCTTTCCTGAAGATAACCTGCCAACTGCTTCATCTTTCTGAGTGTTGTTAACTGTTGATATCTAACACGGGAGGCTGGTGTGGGAAACACGCTATACTGGGTGGACACCTACACTTCAACTGAGGGAGGGGCTGCGTGGTAAAACTTCACAGGGAAGTCAGAGCAGAGCAGCAGGGCTGGCAGAGGGGGAGCTGCTGGCGGGAGGGGAGGTGCACAGCTGAGGCCCGGCCAGGGAGGGTGGGACACGGACACGCGTGTCAGAATCTGCCCTTAGAAAACACTTGGAAAAGTAAAACTATATTTTATAAGGTGGAGTGGAGCAGTAAAAATTAAGAATATCCCAAACATAGGTTTGGGTTAATAATTATAGAGATCTAATTATATTTACTAATTTAGGCCCATAATATCTTTTTTAAGAAAGACAAAAAGTATGAATGAAATACTATTTTTGTTAAACATACAGAAGCCTATTCTTTTAAAACACACACATTTAAAAGAAAAAGGGACTTACTTTTCATCAAAATATCAACACATGTGCTGAAGGGTGAGATTATGAATGTGGTGCGCTTACTATGCCAGGAGGAAGGAGCAAAACCTTTTAAAAGTTTTTTTTTTTTTA